CAAAAGACAGGGGTTTCCACGTACAAGTACACGTGCACACACATACACACATGCACACACACACACACGCATACATACATACATACCTGCATACATACATACATACATACATACATACATACATACATACACGCATGGAGTTTCCTCGTTGCAAGAGGTTGTTTCTGCGAACGTCGCGGAGGACAGGCCTTTATAGCCCGGCCGCAGCTGTTCTTTGTAGCACCCCCCCTCAGGCAAACGAACGACTCCCGGTACAGACACCCAAAAGCGGAGTCAGCGGCATCGAATGTATACATGTATACATACATACATACCTACATACCTACGTACCTACATACCTACATACCTACATACATGCATACATGCATACATACATTACAGTACACACATTACCTTACCCTGCCTTTAGATTACATTACATTACATTACATTACATTACATTACCTTACATTACATTACATTACTTTACTTTACAGTACATTACATTACATTACATTACATTACATTACATTACATTACATTACATTACGTACATTACATACATTACATACATTACATACATTACATACATTACATACATTACATACATTACATACATTACATACATACATGCGCATGCACATGTGCATTTAGATGCAAATTTACCTATGCCGCCTCCACCTCTGCCGTCTGCCTATACCTGTACCTATCTATACATATACATACAGAAGAAGAGGCCGTGGGGCCTGCGCTTCTGCAACCCACTATTTTCAGTGGTTTTGTATGCTTCTCTATGTATATATATATATATACACACACATACCTGTACATATACAAGCACGTATGCAAAATCATGTGTAGACAGAAAACTCAACATGTGGCGATGATCTTTCTTACCCATCCTGCTAGACCTCAAATCCAACATACCCAAAAACGTTCACAAATGCCTTTGCACAAGGCTCGGAGTTGAAGACTTCGGCACTGACTTGCTATTGAAGAATTTACGGGCCTGATGCTTACCCAGGCTTTGATGGTCCATAGTGCCTCTGCGCGCTAAACCTGACAACAGGTACCCAAACTCGCCGGGCTGACTTCCTTTCCGAAAAAGCTGGCCGAGCCTCTTGGTTGCGTCTTTTATTTGTGTAGGCCCCCCAGTGAGCACAGGCTGTAGGGATCTCTAGGGTTTGGGGTGTGGGCCTTTGGGTTTACGGGCTCAAGCTGGAATACTTGCTTTGGAGATCCTGTGACCTGTAAGCTTTACAGCTGAGGTGTAGCTACTTTGGACAACGACGCGAGCCTGGAATCGTCGAAACCCCAAGCCGAGACATCTATAGAGATCAGAACCCCGAACGATGAAACCGAAACTCCAAACCGAGCGAATTGAGTTTTGAGGAGTTGAGAGCTTCCTACACCTACCCTCCGGTGCGTCCTGAACTGGGCGTCGGGATCACCCTCATTGGCTCGCTCTTCCAGCTCGGCGACGTCCTGGTTTGTGTAAACGTAACAGTGGAGATAAACATAAGTACGGTGATTTATCGTGTTGTCAGCATGTGTCAGAATGGGAGGAAAAACCGATCATGACCAGCAGCAGTATGATGCTTATGGCGGAGTCGTCACGATCATGGTGCTAGCGACGCTTGACGAATCAGAGACACAACGTGCAGGACGGCCAAAACCGGCATGATCGATTGTCCTGGAATTAATCCATCATCCATGAACTTACAGGACACACATAGACAACCAAAAATGCGAGTAGTGTGCAGGTATCTAGGCGCCAGGGTGAGCGACTAGTGTAACTAGGCTATGCTGCCAGTGCTTGTAGCCTTTTCCGGTGTGATACAAAACTTGGCTACATTGTCTCATAGGCCTTGAGTTGGGCTTTAAGTTGTGCCGGGTGTGGGGCTGTGGTCAAACATGAAGTATAAGGACTCTCGTGAAAAAACAAGAACTAATGATCATAGGTCATCGAAGCGGAATTAGGACATTCTGGAACACTCCTCAATCTGGGCTTTTACAAGTGACCTGAGAGTCTTAAGCCCTCAACTTTAAAACTCAAAGCTCCTGCGGAATGCTCGGTGGATCCTCATCCACGGCCTGCGCCGTGGATAGTCGCAGCAGCTCGTGGCTCAAATCTGATCGTATTGCACAATGCCAGTGTGCTAGCACAAAGTATGATTTAACGTCATGCCACCTCCCCAAATGCTTTACCTTAAAACAGAATTCGCTGACCCGTCCTACCCGACCCTCCCTTTCCCCCCGCCCGTCCGAACCCAGGACTGAGTTTCAGGACTGAGAAGTGGAGATCTGGATTGACGGAATCGGATTGACATTGTCAAAGCTGATAACTGACCGGGGTCACGGGGGTTGAAGGACGACTGCCAGCAAAGACTAGAGACATGCTTCAACACGCCTGGTCGACGGTGCCGTGGCTTCTGAATCGCACTGGTCGTAGAACATACTAATCAAAGTTTCGCCTACCCTGGGTGGACCTTCCTAATCATTGTGCACACGAGCCCGTGTCTCTGATCGTACACGGTTCCATCAACGTGCTACTTGCAGCCTATGGTGCGTGCTGTAGCAATCTGAAAAAGCGAAGTCACCCTGCCCCCTTCCCCCAAGGCTCCAAAAACCTGACCTAGTTTGCAAGAACCGAAAGACAAAACGCAGACAAAGTAACATTTAGTATCAACTCGAAACCACATTACCCCAGAAGCTCAAACACCTACAACCCCTATGCCCGAACTTCAATCCACAGGCTGACGCTTAAATCTCAAGAAGCTTACGCTAGTGTTTCAGGGCCACGGTTTTGGGGCGTAGGGTTTTTGTTTAGTGTTTAAGCATTCAGGGGCTTTGCCGCCTGCACCGCACGTCGCATCGAAGAGACACGCGGCACCACCTTCGGTCCGACCAGGAAGAACCTTGGTTGGACTTCGATCTGGGGATTGCAGAAGCTTGAATGAAGAGGTAGCTTATGTACGGCTGCAGTCGATTTGCATGAAACGAAGGGCCGAGGATTTAGCCTAGGGGCAGCGTGGGAGACGTGGTACTGCACAGGAGGTTGGGGGTTCAACTCCAGCCGTTTAGGGATTCGAGGCTTTGCTCGAACCTGAAGTAGGAGGTCTGAAGCTCAGTGTTGATGAGGAGTTTCAAAAGGCTTTTGGGGCTTTCAGCTTGAATCCCAACCCCAAGACGCTAACCCAACCCCAAAACGCTAACACTGAACCCCGAAACAACAATCCCCAACCCCAAACCGTGTACGAAGAAGAAGCTGTGCACAGCCTGGGGAACAAACGTCCGCTTTGGGCTCGGATCTAGACCTCTAGACTCCCAACTCCAAGTTCAAAACCGCGAACCCATGAAAGGCACTGAACCCCCCGAGGGCCGAATCCGGGGAGGGCCGGGGCCCGCACGTGCGCCCGGAAAGAAGGGCCAGCACGCAAAGGCACTGGAGAGGCCTGCTGGAAGGCCTTTGGGGCTCAGAGTTTAGTGTTCAAGGGCTCGGCAGTTAGGACTTGAGTATCGGGTTGATGTCTTCGGACACTACATGAACGGAATCAACCGTGCATGTCCCGGAAACCTGGAGACAGATCGACCAAGTCTTCGGGTGTCGTCTACATACATGGAACGATGGACTGGTCCTCTCACGGTTTCATTGCAGCTCCTTTCTGCGATAATGTCCTTTGCTATGCTGCACAAATCCGCAACCCGAAAAGCCGCGACCACCCGAAATGTTTCAGCCTCCGACCCCTTAGACGTGCACCATAAATCCCAAGCCCTCAACTCCTATAACCAACAACGCCGTGACACTACAAGCACACAAACACTGCGACTCTGAAAGCTTAACCCAAAAACCTTAAACCCTAGAATGCAGGGACCTCGACCGCCAGATGTTCAGCGGCATGGCTGGATACACGGTTCGTGCGGATTCTAACGCTCGTTACGCGCTCAAGCGTTTCAGGCCATGTTAGGGCTTACTAGACTGCTGGCACTACTGGTGAGCATGATGATCAAAGCTTTTCAACATGATGATGGCAAGAATTGTGCGACTTGCAACTCCATCATCATTCGGTTATCATGATCCTGACAATCTACGGGCTTGTCGGTGCAGGGCTTCGGCTTTTGGGGCTGGGTATAGCGATCTAGGGTTGAGGTGGGCACAAAAGGCTTCAAGGGTGCTGGGGGGGTTGTGTTTGGAGCCGAGGGCTTTAGTTTTGGTGCGTCGAAGTCTGGGCTGGAAAGTGCTCTTTGCACCCCGGAAAGGCTTGAAAGCGCAAGGTCTTGGGCAAGGGAAGTGGGTCGTAATAGCCTGATGCTTTACAGGTGCTGGGCTTGCGGCTTCTGAGCTCAGGGATTGGAGAGTGAGCTTTGGGGTTAAAGGCTCTGGGATGTCCAAGGTCTGGAAGTCAGGGCTTGGCTGGTTTCAGGACGGTTAAGCTTACGCCCTACGCTGTCACCTTGTGCCGATGGAGCAGGCCACCCACGAAAGCATGCAAGCATCAAGAACGAGCAAAGCATCCTCGGTGCTCGACGTCATCACGAGATACCTCTACTGAGAGTCGTAAGCGTGACTTTACCCGAAGCCACACGAACTTGACGCGCAGGGGAGCTTTCGCAACGCTGTCTAACCGTCCGTGCAACTGTCCTGAACATGGAAGGTAAGCGCATGGGGCAAGTGAGCGCCTCACAGCTGGGCACGCTGCCCGAGAGCCTCTGTAGCCCTCCTCGCAGAAGACGGGGCCAGCCACTCCGCCCAAATGCCAGGTCCTGGCAATCGCTGGCAAAAGACGGCTTCTGGAGGGACGGAGCTTGAAGCCAAAGGTCCGGGATGCAAGTCGGCAGCGGACCAACCGTGCCCATGCCGTGGCAGATGAGCCCGTGGCGAGGCCCTCCCAGTCGGAGTCGAAACCCTCGGGGATGGAGCTGGACAACCACCTGGGCAGGTCGCGAAGAAGGCAGGAGTTCTTCGGTATGCAGACGAATGCCATGAAGTCCAGGTTCGCCGCCAAGTTGTTTTCCCGTGTCTAAAAGTTTTGCATCGTGACGTTTCTGCTTCCAGGTCGGGGTGGGTAAGCCGCCAGCTCGCAAGGCATCGCAAGAAGGAATAAGCAGGTGCCCTCCACATCCATCTTCACTATCGTGTGCCGGCCCGTCAAAGCTTCTGGCACCAGTCGAATCGCAAGAGGCATCACCGCAACGGTTGACAAATGGAGTTCCTGGAGCCAGCTGGTGAAGGACATGTCGGCGGGCTTTCCGAAGAGACCATTTGCACGAGGCGCTGAATGAACTTGGACACGAGCATTCAGGTATGGCGGTCCTCGTGCTCCTGATGAACCACTTTGCAGGCATCCTTCAGCCGGCGCATCTCCCCTTGGAAGGAAGGCGGAGGCCTCAGCCGGTTGAGGGTTAATTAGTCGTCAGGGTCTAAGTACACAAACAGCAGGCACCTTATGTTGGACCAAAAACCCTATCCTCTCGATGCTTGGACCCTTCGGGTAATACCTAGTAGTTGCCGTAAGCTGAGGATTTCCGCAGTGTCTAGGCCAGCGGCCTTTTGTCCAACGGTTGATCTGGAGACATCTGTAAGCTGTGAGTAAGTGCCTTGACGGCGACCCGGCTTCACGTACTATCTCACCCGAAAACGCAATACCTCCTGCACTGATCGCATCCCAGACACAAATTGACGCGTAAGGCCGACATGTGCGACAAGTTTGTCGTCGATCAACTGGAGGTCATGCCAAAAGGTACCTGACATCTTTTCGGAGATCTCACAGTAAAGAGGTGCTTCTGGCTTTCTAGCAGAAGAGAAATAGCTTTAGAACTCAATAGTTTTCACCAGGACTACATGCAGCGTCGCAACCGTTCTTGTCCTCGTCTTCTCCACTGGTGGGCGGCGGCCCAAGCACGGAGCACGCGCTCGTAAAGTCAAAGTCAGCAGGACCTTTGTTCGGGCAACTGTGTTTTGAATGAACTTAACATATGAATGAAAGTTTCTAAAGGTGAATATGGATGCGAAGATAATCAGTAGAATCGCCGAAAGAATGACACCAAAAAGAGAACCACCCCAAACTCTCGAAAGCAGACCCATGACACATTGCAGATGCTGAAGTTAAGACGAATGGCCGCCCTGTTCAGACCATCCGTCGTTCCACTCGTGCGTGCTTCTGTCCGCTGGTGTCCTTTCACGGCACAAGGGCCCAAGGATGTCTGGTTTCAGGAGTGGTGGTTGAGATGTCGAACCTAGTATACAAGTCGTGCTTTGGCATCCAAGGTCAAGGCATATCATGCAATTGCCTTACGCCTTTGTGTTTTTACTTGCTGGGGAGCTCATAGTGCACGACTCCACCGTTCCGGCCCTGATAGACCCGAGATGTTCAGACGCACAGAAAAACTAGAACGGTCAGACTGGTACGGTACTGAATGGCAATCGTGGCCATGCTCTGTCAGCCCAGTATCACACCGTGACAAATGACAGCGCCATTCGCTGATAATGCGGAGTCCTCTCCCAAGCAGAAGCAGAGGCTCTTCGAGGTTCCGTGATGCGGCCAGGGACCTAGTCAGAACTTTGCTCGCCGGTGCCCAAGGCGCTCCCCCAGGCCCAGCGCTTCCTAAGGTTGATGGCCTTGGAGCTCTGGCATGGATGTGCGGGGCTTTGAGATCCTCCTTTCACTCCGCGGGTCTTCCCCGATGTCTTCCCTGGAGAACCAGCGCAGCTCGGAGACACAAACACATCAGGTTCGTCAGACTCGCTGTGGATCAAACAATGGCCCTTCACACTAAACAGCCTCTTCAAGATCCCTGTGTGTGCCATGGCTTTGCCGTGGTATCCCTGAAAGCCGCAAGCCTTCGGCAATGCAGAAATGCAAGAATGATGGCCATCCGACTGGTACTGCTTTACAGTGCATGCAGGTCGAATCAGACAAACGTGGCTACACTCTAGAAGTCCTGGCGTTCGTTGATCGTCACTGCCTGCTTCTGGGGTTCAAGCTTGGTAATTCGTCCAGCCTGTCCCCACTAAGCCTTTCCCCTAGCTGTGGGTTTAAGGAACCCTTCTCCCTCAACCAACCATCTTGCGGCGATGCATGCTTCAGAAGGCTCTAGCATCTTTCCCATGTCCGCCTCCCACGGCCTTCATGTCATGTGCCCTTACATCTTCTTGCAGTTGAGGGTCCCGGGACTCCTGAACCGTGGGCTGTCGAGATAATCTTTTCAGAGGGCGGGGAGTGAAGACATTGGAAGCCCTGGGAGATTACTAATAAACTGCTTCCACCTTCATGCCAACATCGCGATTCCGAACCACTTCCCCCATCTTGATGACTGTATTTTTGGCTCTCGGGGGGACTCGGGGGTGTGGCCGAGATGCCATATCTGCGAAAGAGAACCCTTCAATCCTGCCCTCCCCAAGCGGCTGTGTTCCAAGTCAATCGCACAAGACGGAAAAGCTTCCCCGAACTACCCTGAGAGAGCCGCACCGTATATGGGTGCTCTTCAACGACCCGAAGTTCCAAGACCGCCACAGCCACATCTTCCGAAGATCTTGCCATGTCCTTTCTCCTCTTGCAATCGGCTTTTGTCGTCATGATACTACAATGGTGACTGTGTTAAATCGCGCTGAGCATGGTCAGAAGCGACAAAAATACGACGCACTACCCTCAAGAGGGGCCTCCTCAATTTCAAGACAGCTCGAGGTATGCCACAGCTCTAGTCAGTGGGGATTGTCAAGAAAGAAAAGAACGAAACACGCAGATCGCTAATTTTGCTTCCAACTTCATCCAACCTTCCACTTGTCTGAAGGTTTCCGAAGCAAGGACTACTGCGCAGCCATCCGAGGCAGAGGGCATCTTTAGGGCCCTTTGCCAGGGTCAGAATGACTCGAAGAAGTTTCGGTGCTTCAATAATTTAGGGGCCTTCGGAGTCCAATAGCATGGACAAAGAGATGCTGCTCCAAGTCTGGAAGGCGTAAGACTGCGAATAGCCACATTCTGTTGTCAAAGTTATCAACATTATCACCGGCCTTTCTATTAGTATATATAGCTTTGTGGCCGTCCTCAAGCTCCGCTTCTGACCACTTTGATTAACAAAACAAAACAGCGTGTTGAAAATTGTTGTTGTTATTATCAAGACTACCATACTAAGAAGATCAAAGAATATCAACTATGGCTATAGTTGTAGCAATCATTAGTAGCTCCTTGTGTCACTATGCCTCTTGCTAGTATTGCCACTGCTGTCCTACGGAGGCTCCCCTGTGACGTTGGTTTCTCGGGTCCAGGAGCGTCGATTTGCTTCTCAGGCTCGGGGGGGTATTGTCCTCAGCCAGAAACCTTCGGTTCTGGAGAGGGGAGCCCAGCCCATGAGAGGCCGGAATGCAAGCGCGACTCAAAAAGCCGTGACACACAGTTGCTGTCCAGAGGTGTACGGTTAGGGGCTTGAAGAGCCAGGAGTTCTGAGTCCGGGAGTCTAGGGCAGATGGACACGGTGTGTCATGGCATTCGCGTCGAGCAATTTCGTGCTACCAGTGCCTCAACCGGCGCAGTTCCAGTTACCAAACCAACTGGTGCCGTTGAGCCGGATCCATGCGGTTGACAACACAAATCCTGCACGATCCTCCTGAATGATGATGCACGAAGCTATAAGTGTTCGGCCCCAAGCTAGCTCTTGTTTGATCTCCCCTGGCACTGAGACAGGGCAGGATGGGTATTCTCAACGGTATGAACACGAGGCATCAAAAGATTAGGAAAAATTAGAGCAGCAGAAGGGACGAGGATCGGCCTAAGTACGAGGGCACGTCCCTTTGCTGCGCTCTTTCCTGGAAAAACTGCTCGAACCGGCTCCGATTCCACAGGTGCCGACAGCCTGGACCAAGCCCCCTCCGGCTCCGCGACTGGAGACAAAAACCCCACTTAGCTTACTGTGATAAAAGCTCCGTGAGGCGTCCCTTCGTGGCTTCAACTGGGCACTACAGCGAGCGACACCGTCAAGTTCCCTTGAGTACCTTGCTCTTCTTGACTCCGACATCTCTATGTGTGTGTAGGGATTCGGGTTTGGAGTTTTGGGTGCAGCGTGGTTGTCAAAGCATTGTGCCCCGTCACACAGAAGATTCAGGGTTCGGGGAGTCTCGTGGTTTAACTATGTGCTTTACGTTTAACACGTTCTGCAATCAGATATTTTGGTTCCCGGAATCAGAGCAGCAGCGCGCTAGTACCAGATACTAGTACCTGTACTAATGTACCAGTATACGAGAGTGCGGCGAACTAGTGTACTAGTGTTCGTTCGTACTCGGAGTACTCGTGTACTTGTGTAAAAACTTTAATACTGTACTTGTGTATGAGCATGCCAGCGTACCAGTGTACCACAGTACACGTGAACATGGTCGTCGTCGTTTCGATGTCGTCGTCGAAGTCGTGGTCGTAGCCGTGGTCGTGGTCGTGGTCGCAGTCGCAGTCTCAGTCGCAGTCTCAGTCGCAGTCGCA